ATTTTCAGGATCCTTCAAATACTCATAAATACTTCCAAACTCAGGATCCTTACCCAGTTCTGTTATTACAGTTTCTCGGGAATTTATTGTACACGCTGTAAGCATTGCAACTTTTAAGGTATCACCTTGTTCGTCTAATTTAAGTCGTGATAGGGCATCTGCTACGATATTTTCCTTTCCGGGGGTATGCTTGATTACCAGATTATATTCTTGCAGCTTGAGTGCCCATCTTATTAACCTTGGGGATAAATTTTTCCCTGAGTACAATCTAGTTACCGCCGCATGATCAGAGTATACTGTTATCGGCGCCTTTCCAAAATAGACTCGGAACTTTTGCACTGCTAACAGAACTGCAAGTGCCTCTCTCTCGGTCGCGGAATAGTTTCTTTGTGTTTGATTTAAAGTTCGGCTAAAAATGCCACGGGCTGCTGATTTTGCGAAAGTACCGCTCCTACCGCATAATCCGAAGCATCCGCTGAAATTTCTAAATTTTCATCCTTTTCAGGAAATTTTAACACAGAGGCTTGCGTTAATGCTTGTTTTAATTTTTCGAAAGCACTATTGGCTTCGGCCGTCCACGAGAATCTTGCCTTTTTCCTTTTTAATTTTAACAATGGCTCAGCGATAGCCGCAAAATCTTTTATAAAGGACCTATAATATGAACAAAGTCCTAGAAAAGAAGAGAGCTTCTTTGCCGTGTTTGGAGTCGGATACTTTTGTACAGCGATTATTTTTGATTGATCTGTCTCGATCCCTTTTTGCGATATTTTGTAACCTAAATATTTTAATTCGGGGGCTGCAAATTTGCACTTTTCGACATTAACTTTTAGACCAGCCTCATTTAATAAAGAAAACACCTGTCTTAAATCCTGTACATGTTGGTCTAGATTATCACTAGTAATAATGATATCGTCTAAATAGATAAATGTGGACTTTCCAAGAACAGGTCTTAACACAATGTCCATGCATCGCTGAAATGTTGCTGGGGCCCCTGAAAGGCCAAACGGCATACGCAAAAATGCATAAGTGCCAGACTTGGTTATAAAAGCAGTCTTAGGCACGTCCTCAGGCCTCACCCCTATTTGAAAATAACCAGTCGTTAAGTCTAAAGTCGTCATAAATTTGGTTGATTTTATGTTCCTTAAAATTTCTTCTATGATCGGCAACGGATATACCGGATATTTCGTTATGGAATTTAATTTACGGTAATCAATAGCGAATCTCCACCTTTTTGGATGCTCCAAAGGATAATCATTATTTTTCTTACATAAAACCACCGGGCTAGCATAACTACTTGAGATGGGCGTTATGATCTTTTTACGTAGCATATCGGTAATATGCCATTCTATAATTTTTTCCTTATTCTTATCATACCGGTATGGTTTTTGACGAACTGGCAATGCATCTCCGGTGTCAATACTATGGTTAGTAACCTGAGTAAATCCTGGAATATCACTAAATAACGAAGCAAATTCACTTACCACTTGTCGGATTCTATCTTGCTCGTCATTAGGCAGGTGGTCAAGATTTAACCTTGGCGGTTCAACCTTTTCTACACGCACTGGTTTCATTGTCAGCTTAAGGGACGCTTCATTAAAATCCAGTGTAGCTTGTGCGTCTGAAAGAAAGTCTATCCCTAAGATTAAATGTGCTTGCAGATTCTTTACTATAAAAAACATCACCTTTACTTGTTCGTCCTTGATACGGATATACAAAGGTACTTTACCTACGCACTTACATTGTTCTCCTTGCGCCGCTAATACTGTCGTATTATCCGCATTATATATGCGGTATTTGCGAAAATACTTTCTAAAAAAAGACTTCTGCCACACAGGAACACTGCGCGCCGGTATCCAGGAGTGCGGTGGCCGGGATATTATTCACCAAGACTTCAATCTTCGGAAGAGTCAAATTTTTCACCATTACTGTATTTAACTTGTAGGAAGAGGGGTTTTCGTGGCCTTCGGATTTCCGCACCCTCTCGTGAGCAGAAATCCGTTTTAGTTTAAATTATTTTTCCTTTCCGTGCTTTCCTTCTTTTTCCCCTGGCCTTGAGACTTTTTTCCTGGGTTGCTATTGAACTGTCGACGTTCGCCGGCTGTTTTTGAATGCTCGGGTTTCCTTGCCCACTGATTCGCTTTTTCTCCGTAGCCGTATGCTTGAGTTTGCTGTAGTCTTGGCGTACCAAATTGGTTTCGCTGTTGATATTGGCGTCTTCTTTCGACGTCCGCCGTTCTTCTACTTTCAAACTGGATTGCTAGCTCAAATAACTTTTCCAGTGTAGTCGGATTTCTTAATTCAATAAAGTCTTGCACTTGGGGTAGTAACCTCGGCAAAATCACTTGAATTATTTCAGGATCCGGACGGTTTCCATACAAGAGCTTGAAAACGTGAATTTTTCTTAAAATAAAGCTCGAGAGGTTTTCGATTCTTTGTTGATATATACTAAAAAAGTTCCGTTTCTAATTTCGCACGATCCCTTACAACAGGGAAGGCTTTTAGTAGGGCAGTCTTGAAATTTTCGTAAGTATAGGTGGGACTTCCTGCTTGACCCAAGAGACTTCTGCCGATACATTTGAACCAGTTAAGCGCTTGGCCCCTCAAAGCGCTGGTAGCTAAGGTAACTTTTTGAAACTCGTGCACGGGGTAGAGCATGAAGTGGTCATCCAATTTTTCCAAAAAACTGGTTACCGGTGAGTTTCCATTAAACGTTGCTTCTGGTTTCATCGAAGCGCGCATGGTCTGGACGATGTAACCGAATCCTTCCAGGGCGGCAGCTGGCATTTCTGGATTCTGAGCCGTTTCTGCAGGCAGCACAGGTTCTTCTTGAAACTCGGCCATGGTTATTCTTCTTCGTTGGGCGCCACTATCAGGTTCAATGTTCCTTCTAACCTTCTTCGGGAACATACAAGGACCTGACTAGGAACAGAGAGCTTACTAAAGCTATGTTCACTAATTGTAGTAAGTAGACAGGATACAGACGAAGGGTATACAAAACCCTTTATTTTTCTCTATATACAATAACTTCCGTACTTCGGAATACAATGACCCGCCACTCGGGGTCTAACGTAAAAGTAAAAAAAAAAATAAAACTAAACTCTAATTTAACTTTAGAATAATACACGTGGAAGATTGGCCTTATAATAACAGGAAGCGTATGTAGCACAGAGACTGTGAACACTACAATACGTTTAATTTATCAAGAGGATTAAAACCTCTGGCCTGGAAGGCAAATAGCAACTGCGTAACTTCTAAGGTAAGCGGCCTGCTTCGAACTCACTGCTTCCTCCCTTTCGCTTGGCAAAAAGGCCACACTTAAATACTTGGCGTTCGCCAGACAAACTTTGCATAAAAACCTTCACGCTTATAATTCTGGCCGGAAGTAGAAAATAAGAAGTGATAGTAAAGATTTAAAATAAAATAAACGTTAGTAAAACTTAAGATCCTTACAGGGTTACCTAATGTTTGAGAAGATTTCTTAGAAAACTCAGGAGTTGGGGGGAAAATTATTCTTTCATTTGTCGGTTTATGGTTTTCAAAAACTGATATGCTTATTTTCAGACTATGCAGGTAAGTTTGAAAATTCTGAAAAATGCATTTCATTACATAGAACAAATGTTATCGCAAACAAAAGCAGCTTTCTTATTTCTGAAACTTCTTTGACAAACACAGCAACCATTCAGCGGATAAATCGATTGCTTGTGCGTATTTAGTAGTTATTAAGTAAAACTCCCCCTAAATTTAAAGCAAATGCTATTATTTGTTTCAATTTAATTAAAAAAATTAAATGAAAAGACGTAAAATAGCGAACTATTTTCTGCTTTTTATTTTACAGGATTATTTTAACTCATGTTTTTTTCCTTATTAAAACAGATTTTTTTAACTAAACTTTTTTAGGCTCTTGAGATTTTCAAGAACTTCAGAAGAATATGGTCAAAAAATAAATCAGTCATTAATCCAAGAATGCCTGATTCTCGTAAACAAAAGTTTAAAAGACTAAAAATAAAATAATTATTAATATAAAGATTTTTTTTAATCTCGAGAAAACAAAAAGTTTAAACGCCCAGTCACTTGTCTGTTTGCAATGACAGCTGTATCAACATGGGGCATTGTATGCAAATATGTAATATTACTATAAAATTATAAAACTGTTGTAAATATATATTTCCTTTCCTGACACAGTGCATGCTTTGATAGTGTAGGCGGTTAGTGCGTCCAACCAGTAATTGGATATCTGTGGTTCGAATCCTGGTGAGGCATAGTTGATTTTTCATGTTTCCTATTTTGGAAAACATAATGGTCTCTGCTGTAGCGCCCGAACTAAAATGATATACCTGATAATTCGTCACGTCTGGAATTGGTCGACTGGATCTCGTACTTCTCCTTAGTAATCCATTTAATAAAGAAAAATGTGAGGAATTATGACATTCCTTCCTGCATTCTCTCCGGATGAAAGTGGTTATCACGTCCATCTAGCAGCTGAAAATTTCGTGGTTTGAATCCGTGAGAGAACATAGTTAATTTTGTAAGTTCCCTCCTTCTACAATCTAATGATCTCTACAAATAAAATTATTGTCCGCATTTCCTTTTGACAGCACGTAACTAATTTACGTACTGACAAATATTCTCTAGTACCAAAGACACACACCCTGAAGACATACACTAATAAACGAAGAAGTTTTGATTTAGTTGTCCCTGTTTCCCGTAGTTGTGGTGTAGATAATTTTGAATCGCCTTTTATATGTATGTGGTCGTACAAAGAAATAATTTTTCCGTTACTAAAAAAAGACAACAGGGTAACTTAACAGTTGTGTTGTTACGTAATTAACTTCCACTTAATGTTACTGAAGAAAAATTACAGAAGTATGCAGATAAATGTAATTTCACTTATACATAAATATTTAATGATTTATCTTAATTGAATAACAGTGCACAACATGAAACCACGAAAAATTTCCAATCTTTGTAAGCAAGCAAATTGCAAAAAAAGAAATACAAACCATGCGGCAGATCATTTCGTACGTTGTTACTCCTAGGGACCACCAGTCAGCAGGAAATGAGTAGCCATGAGTATGATCTAAGGCACAAAGTACGACTTCGGGAGCTGAAGCAAACAATAGTATGTAACTTTGAAAGCAAAAGAAAAGAAACTCCAGCTTAGTGGAATTCAGAAACATTTCTGTTTACCATATGAACTTAAATGTATAGATATAAATCAAAGATTCACATACATGTACTATAATGCGCATAATGATCAAAATAAGAGAAAATGATGCTTTTTTTTTTTTTTTTTTTTTTTTTGTTGTTGTTGTTTCTTCTTTGATAACGACAATTTATTGTTCTATTGGTTTAAATAAATACCTTCAGAATAATAGATCCATTCCCTTTATATATCAGGATTGCATAACATCGAGAAGTAGCATGCTCCTCGATATATTTTAAGCAGCACACATAAATACGTACATACATATAGACAGATAAATGGATAGGTAGGTAGATAGACATACTAATAAATAAACAGGGTGATTCTAAAATATCTGGCAAAAACGTAAAGACAGTTAGAGAAGGACAAAATAGGCACATTTTTTTATGGAACGCATGTACCGAAATGGCGCGTAATGAAAGTATGAATGACAAGTAAGCAACAAAAATACGTTAAAGTCAGCTGTCCACTCGAGAATCGATTTATGTGTATTCTTTGGATTGTTGCTCAGTTCCGCCAAAACCTTCATAGATAAAATGCTTGTCAGCAAGCTGTGCTTTCCTGTAACAATGCATATCAGCCAAAATCTGCATGGAAAACGATGATTTACGCCAACTAACCGCTTTTGTCTACTCATTTATTTCAACAACGTCATCTCAGTGTGCAGTTTTCGCATACATATACCGTTACAAATCTCCTATTTCGGTGGCTTCCACCTGCCTTTATAATTTTGCCAGGTATTTTAGAATCATTCTGTATTTATCTACTAATTTTACTACTATCTGTATCTACGTATATGGTTTCGTAATCATTGTTCTTTTACACGTTATCATTTCTCAAAGTTCCATTTTGCTATTTATGGATATGCTGAATGTAATGGTCTTTTTCTATTATTTTTTACGTTTGCACAGTCTAAATTACTAGGAACTTGCTTTTATATATATATATATATATATTGGTATATCGCTTTAGCCTTTTGCTTCGCATTTCAAAATACTGCGTTTTCCTTTAAATTTAGGTCATGCTATTTTAATGTGTAATTGTATGTTTTTCGTCTTTATTTCGGTTTGCACGTGTAATTTATTCTTTCTTGTTCCGGTGAAGTAAAATTCATTGCATTAAATACTTACATTTTCTGCATACATTACAAACTTGCATTTGTACATGAATTTCTTTTTAATTGCTTAATACAGCTTTAAAAAAAATTTATTATTTTTATTTTTTCTTAATCTTTATTTTTCTTCATCGTGTATTTTTTATCCATTCTCTATTTTTTATTCGCGTATTTTTCTTCATCATTTGTATTTATATCTCTTTATATAGATAAGTAGATAAATAGATATAGATATTAAGTTATAAATATATACATAAATAATATATAAATAAATGAAGTGTTTAGATTAAAATAACACAATTTTCACATGCAAATATAACGCTGATTTTTGTTATTTGACTTCTAAATTAATAGATGAAGTATATTAATATATCGGTTTTTAAATTATCAGCGAAAATTTGTTTTCAGTTTAACTTCGAATGGCATTTAATTCCATAATATTAGTTCTCTTCACAACTCACCACTTTCCCATATCTTTTGTATCATTTCTTGTTTTCTTTTAAGCATTTCGTACCTAGAATTCTTCTCTACGTATGATTTGATTGCATATTTAAAGCGCCAAATGTTTTGCAACATCCACAAAATGGTTTATTAATGTTTGAGTTAAACTGGATAAATATATTGATCACTGCTTACTGCTTTTTTTTTTTTTTTTTTGCTTCCATCCAAATGAAAGCTTACTCTCGTAACTAGATAATATTAATAAGACGTTCACATCATATTTTTATACTTACTCGAAGTTGTCCGTTCTAATAATACTCAAATGATAATTAGATAAAAAAAAACTTAGTTTTACGACACGCCAGTTTGCATTTAAATGCTGATATATTATTGCAAAGTTCGAAATAAAATATTTCACACATTTGCTCGTCGAAGAAAACAAACTTAACGGTCACCGTCTAATGGCAATGAAGAAGGATTTCCTTTCATAATTATATACCTTATTATATGCTAAGAAATAAAAAATTAACATCTGCAAACTTGAAAATAAAAAAGTTACATAGCTACAGTCTGACAACATTCATTCGCACTTGAGAATTACACAAGAAAAAAAAAACAGCTCTGAAAAAAATGATTTCGCCGCTTCTAAGAAACTGAAAATTCTGAAGCCTTACCTTTAAAAGTAAGTTTATTAAGTTTTCCCCCTTAATTTGTGCAAAACAATATTAACTTCTAAATTTAATTTAGTATAGATAGTTAATTTACAAGTAATATGAAAAATTTATATGTTATTTTATTTAGGAATGTTAAATTAAGAATGCCACATTACAGGTATTTCAAACAGACAGTTATAAGAGCATCTTAAAAATTCTAGAGCTTTTTGAGCACATGATTTTTTAACGTTTCGGAATTAGAGTTTACAGTTTAACTATGAGAAAATGATATTCTTAACGTTACTTTAAATTTTAGGATTGCAAAAATTCCTTACTAAGTGAATTGATGCTTAATAACAAACTATAGCGAATCTTTGGTTAATTGTTTCAGTTGATAAATGATGCAGTTGTTTGACACTACACAACTTACCCATGTAAGGTTTCGTCCCTGAAACAGAAGTAACTACTTCTCCATCTCTAATAAATGTAGCAATGTTAAAATCGGTTACATGTGCATGTCCTGAAACAAAGATTTAATTTTAGATGCATTTTGCATAATATGAATTAAGTTGCAATGATGAAAAATGCGGGAAATACATATAAATACTGAAAGGAAAATCTGAACCACGAAACAAACAAAAGCGTACGTGCATGTAAAAAATATCCATACCAAGGGCACACTAAATATTTAAAATATACACACACAACATACACCCAAGGATTTCAAAACGATTGCATGACTAAGTTCGTGAACAGTTGACCGTAGACACTCACATAAATCGAACAAAACAGATTTTCATACTACGACGGTTCTAGACATGTGATAATTTAACAAAAATGAGCAAATTTTTATTATTATACGGTCCCCAAAAAACATCAGCGAGGAAACACTTTTCTGCATTAATCAAACACATATATATCGAAAAACATGAGTTGCTCCCTATATAGCCAAAATTATTGGAGATATCTTTAATTAAAATTGTAGGATGTTAAATAGATCTACTTTCTCGATTAGAAATTACTAAAAGATACGCCTTTTTACAGAGATGAGAGTCTAAATGTTACTTTTAATTCTCATCTGCAGAAATGCTTAAACTTGAAAAATTTTACTGAACATAGTTCAATTTTTATATGTTCCGTAAAATCTGTTTTGACCATGGAAAGCGATTTAAGTCAAACAATTCTGACAATTTTTTCCAAACTAATTTTGTATATTACAGAAATGGGTTCTCTTTTAAAGAAAATCTTCAATAGAATAAGGAATGATTTGTAAATAAACTTGCGAATTTGTTACTTTCTCTGGAGAGGACAAGTGTAAAAATTTTAATTTTATATAAGTTTGCGGAAAAGCATCAGCTGATCAAAACTATTTATGGTTTCCGAAAGCAAACAAAGCGTACCTTCTCTCATTCAGTTTTATAATCTGAGCCACTATTTAGCACATTATATTAGCAAGGTGTGATGTGTTCAAGTAATATCACGGTCAAGTGTTCAAGATTTACTTATCTGCAAAATATTTTTGAGACACCTGTACCCAAATTAATCAAAATAAGTTATAATTATCCAACAATTTTAAATATTTATAATTATTCACTAGACGAAATTTTCCAAATTACGTATTCAATCATGATTTGAATTAATTTGACGTCATAACTATTCTAACAAAGGGAAGAAAAATGGACATAGCAGCGCAGGGATTTGTAACAGCAATAGCAAGAAGCAGTCTGACGAAAAATGGCGCGAACTCTGTATTTATACTAGCTGTTACATAACAAGACAGAATGTTCTCGAAAATACTGGTCCTAAAATCTAATGCTGGTAAAAAGGGTCCTAATACTGGTAAAAAGGGGAAGGTCCTAAAATTGCGGAAAGTTAATTGTAGGTTGCCTGTTCGCGCAGAGCAAAGCCATCGTATTTTTTATATTTCAAATATATATATATATGTGCAGAAAAGTAAATAAAGATAAGCATTTAACTGGTTTTTTTAACTCTTCATTAACGCTCATAAAGCTGCTAGAGGAAAAATGTTAATAACTAAATAGAAATAAATATAGCAAATGCTTTATATTTAAATTATTTATGTTTTTTATATTTAAATTATTTATGTTAATTCGCCCAAAGGGGCAATTTGCCCTGAAGTACTATTGTTTTCGTTTTGGGATTTTGCGTTGAAATTTTTAAAAGGCTGTATCACTTTTCAAATCATTGCCATGAAATATTATCGTCCTGTATTATATATGAAGAAATTATATAATGAAGAATCTGCATAACTGTATATATGTTTCTCGCGCTGTGATAAAGCAACGGTACTTAAGAGCCATCAAAATTTGACTAACGTAATCTTCCCCAGAATATGGGCATGTAAGAGCCCTAATTTGAATTTGAAATTTGTTTTATTATCGGTTTCATATTTTGTAACACTGTAACTAATTTTTGATTAAAAAGCTAAACGATTTCAAAGCGAGAAACGGCAACATTGTACAGAAAAAAACATTTTTATCTCCAGCACGTGAGATTGCATATCGGAAATTCTAAAGATATGCTCAAATTAAAATTATTTTGCGATATTGCTCTTGAACTGAATTTTATGGTTTAAGCGCGAAGAACATGATATTTAATAAATATAGGTAAGACACAAAATGCTAAAAAAAAAACGCCCCTTTGGATGTACTTTAAAAACTTTCAGATTTTTTTGTTTTGTTTTTGGAGTTTTTAATTAATATCTCAGCTGATTAAAGTCGTACGAAGATGGGAACAGTCGAAATGGCTTCCCACGAATTTTTGGAATCGGGAATAATGTATTTAATGCTTGGCAATACTATTTTTATTTATGTTTGTTTTTAATTTTTTATCATTTTATGTCTTTCTGTTCATCGTCTAGCTGCTCAAGTTGATCATTTTAATCTTTCTGATCTGGAAGTTACAAATATAAATATTATGAAATAATGCTTCCATTTACATGTTCGCTTTTAATGATTTATATACTGGTATGTATTTTTAACAGATTCTTCATAAATATTTAAAAGCAGAGAGAGATTGCAAGATATGGTTCACTTTTTTAATATGGCTTCTTTAAAATCCTCATTTAGGTTTTTTTAATTGCTTAGATTTTGGTAAAAGTTCAACTTTTGTTTTGAATTACCACTGATATAAATGCTCAATTCTTTTGATAAGCAAACGGCACCGTCTGCTTTAGCCAGTGGAAATTAAAACAGTTGCACTATATTTGGATAATGCGTATCATAATATGTTAGACTTGCCAATATTGTAACATAATTATGTTGCTCACATTACGTATTTCTAAATATCTAGTTTAAAATAAAATTTATTAATAAATTACAATATTATATCGTGACATCCGTTTTTCAAATACCGGATGTTCTCTCAAATTCTGCAGGGAAGGTTTTGCACAAAGTCGTTTTTATTATTATTAAAGTATAACTTACCAGCTTCATCTATTAAGATGTTATCAGGCTTGATATCCCTGAAAACAGAAATAATTTACTAGACATTAAATCAAATTATTTTTCATAAACAAATTTTAATATTTTAAATATGAAATTTAAATATAGTTTTTAAAAACCGGATTTGCATGCTTTTACCATAAAATTCATTTATTTAAGTATAAATTACTGAATCTGCAAATTTACTTCATATATTAGGAAGAGATTTGTTTTAAATTGAAAAAAAGGAAAAATCAACAAGTATCTTTAAATTCTCGTTTACGAAAAGACTATTTATACCATATTTCATAATTCAACTAGGAAAGGAGAATAATTCTGAAAGTTGCATTCAAAAGTAGAAAAAGAGTTATTTTGCGTATACTATAAAGACAGGAAATATGCTAGAAAAACTTACGATATCTAGCTTGTATTAATGGAGATTACTTAAATTATCCTGAAAATTAGAGAGAAAAAAATATATTTGAAGTTTAGTTTAAATTAAGGGATGCATTTAAAAACTAGTAATTAACATTTGAAATTTATTATAGAACTTCTACATAATTATTTTAATATTATAAAACTTACGAATTTTTACTGTGTTCAAAACTGGTTGTCAAAAGTATTCAAAATCCGCATTCTTAGCCAGTTTTGAAAAGCATAAAAAATGCTATAAAGGATCTCTTTTACACGATGACCCTGTCATAAAAAAATTTAATCTAAAATAAGGTCTCATGTAAATGTTCCACTTAATTATGATGATTATGACTATTACTTTAATTATTACGTAAATTCAGTCTGCGTTAAGGCTTCTCATTCTAACTTATATATGAGTATCTTGATTAAAGTTCACGAATTAATGCGTAGTTGAGTTTCAATAATTCACAACAATTTAAAACAATAACAGGGATTTACTGAAAAGCTCTGACTGAAGATTTAAAATTGCTTTTCTCAGCATTCGAACTTTAAATGGTAACACAGACTTGATGTAAAAGATTAAACCAAGGGAACCGGACATACGCTCTTTCCACGATTTAAAACAACAGCAGTTCACAAACATAGTGAATCCCTTCTAAGATAACCACCCACGGTTCCAGACCATTTTAATATTTTGTGAAGGTAGCCGGTTTCAAGAAGATGATCATTGGTGATGATGATGATTGATTCTTATTATGAGTTTGTCCTGTTCAAGGCTTCTGGTTTAAAAAATACTAAAATAGAAGTGCAATTTATGGCTTTATTAGTATAATTACGAATTCCGTGTCAGAGTTAAATACTGGATATTATATACTAGAAGACTAAGAAATATTTACTTTAATTTTCAAAAGTAATATAAATGAGTACCACTTTAAATTATGGGAATCAGATCACGCGGGTAAAGCAAACAATGATATTATTGTAGAACTTATAGTATTATAGAACTTTGCATTATTAATTTTCTTTACTAGCATTAGCAACACTTACTGTGTACAGTTTGAACTCCATAAAGTAACCCATCCACTTTACTATGTTCTACATTACCATTACAACTTAATTGCTCTAACTCGTTCATAGGATACAGAACTTCAGTTAAAGAAACAGCCGTAAGTTTATAATTGTCTTCTTCTAGCAGAATTTTCCGAGTTTTTTAGAAGAAAAGATATTTATTTTATTTTTTTATTTGTTACGTACTCCACCATTTGGGATCACACAGTAAGGGAGGGATGCCCCATGAAGAAGTTCATAAGGAAAACTGGCTCGTAGCCACTTTCCACATGGGAAAAACCATGAAAATCCCTGGAAGTCAGCCCGTTCGCCTGGACTTGAACCGAACTACCAGTGTTATAATGGTTTTTACCGCTCGGCCACTGGTGAGTCGAATCAAAGGTATTGGCATGCGTTTCAAGAATATCTTTTTCCCACTCTCTCAAGCACGCATAATGCGTTGAACTGCGAAATTTGAATTAGGAACACACATGATTGATTGCACTAATGTCAAATACTGAAGTGACTATCTTTGATCCAATTTTAATACTGATTTGTAACTTGATTTGTAGTTTGATAGATTTGGAGTTTAGGAATGCAATCATTTCGAGTACGCTGCATCATAACTGCCTAATCAAGGCTGTATGATAAATTACACCACGTTGAGAAAGTACAAAAAATAATTAATCAGGAATGACTATTTAAAATTTTTTCATAAAAATAGTTTTTGCATTATAGAAAGAGTTGGAAATGTAATTGCCGGATTCATTTAGTATATAATATGTATATTTCAGTTTGGAGCCCACAAGCAGCCGAGTGGTAAAGTTGCTGAACACCGGTAGTTCAGTAAATGGTTCAAATTACGGCTAACGGGCTGGCTGCATAGGCGTTTTCGTGCTTTTCCTCATTGGTAACGTGTATAGGAGCCATTTTTCATTAAAAAGTCCTCCACGAAGGCATCTATTCTCTTAAATAGCCCTTAAATCAAACCATATTTTTGCTTGATAACGAAACAGACATTTTAGTGATAGCCTTAATAAATATTTGAGGTCTGGGTCAGATAGGGAATGGTCATTTTAAAGAATCATATTATAATTCTCAATACTGAAGTTCATTTAAGTTTATAGAAATAATAATCACTTTCACAGGTAGTAATTTAAGGGAGGTAATCGTCATGAAAAGGCTGACTATTCTTCCCTCTTCAATTAAAAAAAAATCCTGGTACGAACTCTTTTAGAACGCCTCCTTCTAGGTTATGGTGTTCAAAATTATAAGCTAATTGACCAAATTATTTGGAGGCTTACTCTCTTCTGCCGCCAATCATGCTGCTGAAACAAGTTCCGTTACCTAATTATGTTTCTGCAATACATTTAGATTCTCTCATCATAGACTGGGAGTGATGGCTTCAAGTAAAATAAAGCTAAAACTAAAACAAACTTTTAAATCAAACAAAAATAAGAAGAACATTATTATAGAAAGAAAATTACCAATAATGAATACAAATATGTGGTTCTAAGTCGTTAAATAACCACTGAAATTAAATTAAGAAATTAACTTCTTGTTATTACCAATCTCACTTACCTGACAATTGTCAGCACAAGCATAAGACATTCATTGTGGGAAGGAGTTAAATGCGCCTGTCTTTGGCATAAACCTCGAGAAGCATATAAGTGACAGTCCAACATTGGCTCAGTTCCGCCCCCCCCCCCAATTTTGAGGGAGAGAACCGCGGGGGGACAAGTCTGAAGGTCTCCTACTCTCCTACCCGCTCTTCCCCTAATAACAACCTCTCGAAAGTACATTCAGCTCGCCGCATATTTAGAGTTCTCCAATACCGCACAGGCACTGTACATTTACAAACATCCATGCCTTCTCTGGAATTCGAACCCAGACCCTTTGGCATATGGCAGTCCGAGACACTGATCACTATCCCTGTTATGTGGCAGAAATTAACTTAAACCAGATATAGTTATAGATGAGGAAGTTTCTTCACATTTTATTAATCAACAACACCTCGATCTTCAGAAAAACATACCTAATGTTTTGGATAGTATGCTCAATTCGAGACACAATACAAAACTAAATTCTTCTATTACATTTTGGGAAAGTATAATAGTTTTATAAGATATTTCTCCCTCCTTCCAGCATGCCTTCGTAGTGTAACTTTAGCACACTCGGCGCGTATTCGAGAGGTCCATGTTCGAGTCCCGGCGAGGGCACTTCTTATTTTTCCCGTACACCTGTAGAGACATTAGGTGTTTTATGGAAGCAGAAGAAATGAAAAATGAGCCACGCCTTCGCCAGGAATCGAACCACGGACCTCTGAAATACGCGCCCAGCGTGCGAACCGCCACACTACGAAGGCATGCTAAAAAGGCGGAGCGACTAGGTTCCCTAATTCTCAGTAGCCGTTTAAAAGGAAGAGTATATAAGATATTTCCTCCCTCTTTCCAGCATGGCTTCCTGATATAACGATAGCACGCTCGGCGCTTATTCAAGAGGTCCAGGCGAGGGCATTGCTCATTTTTCATGTACTCCTGCTTCAAAAACACCTAATGACTTTTCAATATGAAAATGCAGTAAATCGAACAATATAAAAATGTTAGAAAATGTTATTTATATAAAACGCTTTGATAACCCTTGAACCATCTTAGTAATAACACACTGGTGTGCAAAAGTTAAGAACGAGACGGTTTTTTCAATATAACTTTGTACAAAAACTTTCCAAATCAACACATTTAATACCGTAAGATCCCCAATACGTAAGACATGAGTAATGTAAGCAACACTTACTAAAAGAGAAATCAGAGGGATAAAAAGAAGCTTTATTGAAAAAGTAGCATGGAGCGCAATGCGACGGAAGGCCGAAACATCCCTGTGATGGGTGTCTAGCAAGAAACATCCGGTCTTTAATAGGGGATATGATCTTCCCTGACTGCTAGGCAAGTTTCACAGCGTCTGCCCATGCTGAGAATGAGGGTGTCAATGAGTTGTTGAGGCATTGCTGCCCATTCGTCTTGCAGCGCCAATCGAAGCTCCGGAATCGTTACTGGTGGTAAGGTACGAGCTGCCAAGCGTCTGCCTAGAAAATCCCATACATGCTCGATGGGATTGAGATCCGGAGATCGTGCCGGTCAATCCATACGTTCAATATCCTCACTCTCTAAGAGCTGTTCGGCAGCTACTGTGCGATGACATGGTGCATTGTCGTCCATGAAAAGGAACTGCGGACCCATAGCGCCTCTAAAAAGACGCACATATGGAAAAAGAATCTCGTTACAATAACGGGTCCCTTTGACTGAACCTGCGTCGAAGATGTGAAGGTCTGTACGACTACCAAGCATGATGCCTCCCCAAACGAGAACACCGCCACCTCCGTACCTGTCCCTTTCAATGATGTTCGACGGATGATTGCGGCTTCCCCGCTCTCTCCAGATGAGTATGCGATGAGAATCGCTACTCAGACTGAATCTGCTCTCATCTGTAAAGAGTACTCGTCCCCATTCATTGTCTCTCCAATTCCGGTGTTCTCGGCACCACAGAGAACGCCTTCTCCGATGGGCAGGCGTTAGAGGTACACACCGTACAGGGCGTCGTGCAAACAGACCACCACCGTGCAGTCTTCTGGCCACGGTAAAACGCGATATCGGTCGTCCAGTCGCCTGTGTCGTGTGTCTAGCGATTTCTCCCGCTGTCTGCTGCCTGTTTCTTCTGGCCTGTAAGGCAATATACCGGTCATCTGTGGGTGTGGTTCCTCGTGGACGACCGCTACTAAATCCCCGGATAACTGTTCCTGTAGTTTGAAATTGTCTCCAAAGTCGTGAAACGATGCTGTGAGCAATTCCGAACTCTGCAGTCACACTTGTCACACTGCGGCCTTCCTCCAACTTCCCAATGATTCGACCTCGGGTAAAAGCATCCAGATGTCGTCTAACAGATTGATTATTCGCCATTTCTCGCTGAGGCAGCAACTCGGTGTGATTTCAACTGCTATACGGCGCGCAATCTCTTTGCCAGAAATACTGATCTTACACCGACATGCATTATACTACTCAGACACTCCCCCATTACGTCTACCTGCATATCTGCGCATGTGCTACCGTACATCACCTTACTTAATCTCCTGATTGGTCTTTCTGTCCACTCTGCCTCTTCGTTCAGCTGATATGCTAATTTTTCGACTTCGTCCTTAATTTTTGCACACCAGTGTATAATACACTATGCCGAAAATTCCATTCGTTAAAAAGTCAACCGACAGTTGTCTGTTCGAAACTTAACTCACAAGATCTCTTAACTAGGTATGCAAATGATAAAAAAGCACAATCAATGAACGCATAGTCGCGCATTAAGTGTACGAAAAACGCATGCTCTAAAATGCATTTAAGTTACATCACTCGTTAAGATGAAAGTGATTTGGATATCATGCGTAAAGGTCAGTTTATTAGAATTCGCTTAATTTAAAATTTTACGTAACTGCAATGATAACTAAAGTTTTGCTTTCGTCTTCAATAATACCTTTAGCGAAGTTATATGTATATCTAATCATAAGTAGATCGCTTGGTAGATAAGATAAGCATAAGGCTAATGATAAAATTTAAAAATAATGGTTCAGAAAAGTTAATCTTCAAAGTCACTCATTTCCAGTCCTAACAACTGATCTCTGGCAGACGGATGGAGCCCGAAATCAAATAAAAATTCATCTCTTATGCAGTTTTCAGAATCCAGGAGAAAATACCCTTCTTCTTTGAAAATATCGATTCTTCTTTCATAACGCTGCAGTTCGTCAAACTGTTGAAAGCACTTCTCTCGATTACTTTTTAAGGCGTTTGATAATAAATGTGAGTGTCATTTTAATTTTCCTACCTTAGTATATTATAAATGGCTTAACTACTATTTACAGCAAAGTGAAATTAAGATAGTGTTGAAAATCAAAACAATTTTACACTATTTTTCTGCAGATTAAAGCAGTAAGCTTAGTTTAAAAAACAGTAGGGTAAACTTATAAAAAGAGTAAACTTAATTTAAATAAATGTAATAAATAAATAATAAAGTAGCAAACTTAGTTTAAATAAAATAGTAAATTTCCATCCTCATATCGCAGGAGTGTACTAATCATAAATATAACTTTAATAAACTCAACTAATTTTCGATACGAAAAGTAATTGCATCCTCTTTTGCCAATTTCGCTGCAAGAAAATTTTAAATGAATATATCATTGCAAAATACAGTGTAAGATTATAATTATTTTAAATAACACCTTTACTTTTTACATCAAACTTCTTTTCCTTCACTGATTTCAAAACAGTATTTGCCAGTAAATTAGAAACGAACTACGTGAATGAATCTAAGCAAAATGAGTGTTTACAGGGAAAGGAGTAAAGCATATTAATTCATTAATCCGTACTTCAGTAAGAGCAACTTCAAAGCAGTATTCTATAAAAATTGTATCCCAGAGTTTTACAAACGAGATGTCTAAGATAAGTGAACTATGGCAACTGATTTGTTTTTACTTAGTCCCTTTAGTTTGCTATCATAAGCCACTCTGTCTGAATTGAGTCTGTTAAGTTTAGGATTGTGTATCCATAGATCGCCAATAGATGGCGGTAGTGTTTGTTTGTAAAAAGAAACTGTGATGTCAATTATGTATATGTATTCAGTTCGTCTTTGGTGTTCGTGAATAAATGTTGTGTGGAAGAACGCTCCTCTGTTTATTACTTTAACTGCGATCCAGTCTGATTTATTAGAGATTTACACATATTTTGTTTAGAGTCAATTATCAGTTACGCATTTTGGTTTTGACCTAGTCATGTGAAACACCTCGAAAAAGGCAATTTGTGTTTTATCCTTTAATACAGTCAAGGTTCTAATAAATTATCATTTATTACAACAAATTTCAGAGGGTTTTTTTTTTTTTTTTTTTTTTTTTTTTTAATAATCAGTTGTTGTGATTTAGTGCCAGAGAGATAATCTTGCTCCAAAATTCATAATGATTAGTACTGGATGAAAACCTTGCTGGTTGCTTAATTATATATACAATGGTTATAATTAAAGTTCCACTTTGAAATGGTCACAAAAGGAAAAATACTGGACCAAATGTTATCAAACTTGGCAATCGTGTAAAACCGGACATAGGAATTTATTTTCTGCAAAAAAAAAAAAAGAGTTCAAACACTCACCACTAGTGGGGAAATGACGCTGTATGCAATACTGTTAAACAAAATAAGGGGCGGCATCTAACTTAACCTTTTGTTATACGGGTTTAACATGTTCTGTAACAACATGTTCATGTAATAACATGTTCCTTATGACCTAAACAAAACTACCAATTAAAGGCGATAAAATTAGAGTGAGCCATCCGTGTAAGTGAGAAATCCGTCCGTGAAAACCACAAATTAGAGATTGTGAGATCACAAATCTCTCGCAAAAGATTGCGCATTCCGGAAATCGGTTTCTTACAAATCGCTCGTGTTATTGTTGCGTGTGTACGGGTTCGTAATGAAATGAATGCACAAGTCCGATGAAAAGTGAATAAAATTTATTCTTATCACAACAGATAAAAACAAAATGCTTAAATTTGCTTAGAGATATTGGTACAGTATCGCAATATCTTACAGTAGTTATCTTTTAAACTACTAAAACGTTCAACAGAACTTAATTCAAAACAGAGAAAGCTAATCTGATTTCACCGCGAATTCGCTACAGTAAACACAACAGTTATAAAAGCAACAACTGAATTAAGATGTTTTCCTCCATATTTTATAAACGTTTTAATTATGCACGAGCACATTCTCGTACTTTCTCGATTTTTCTGGATAGCAAAAGCAATTACGAGCTACGTATTTATTAAATGCGCGTGCTCCTGTATTTTTAATTTTTCCGGCTCTTCAAATTTGTCGCGCGCAGCTTAATAATTCTATTAAAAATAGCAAACTAAATAAATACAAAATCCGTAACATTATCTACCCAGTTCCATTGCATTCTCCTAAAGTCACCGTTTGGTATGATATGACAGCTAGTTTCATAATTGGACCATTTTTCTTTGAAGAGCAATCGACAACTGGGTCCGTTACATGCACTGTGACTGAAGCCCGCTTAGCGTCAATGCTAAGACGTTTCGTGATACCTGAACTGCAGCAACGTGGCATTGTATACACCACGATTTTTATGCAGGACGGGGCCCCACTGCACATTGGTACATGTGTCACATAGCTATTTAGGCAACATTTCACGAATGAACGGATTATAGGCCGACACCTCCCCACTTCTTCTGTCAGCCCGGTCACCAAACCTCAATCCCTGTGACTTTTGTTATGGGGTTATCTCAAAAGCACTGTTTATGGTTATAATCTAAGCAATTTGGCGGAATTGAAAGATGCGATACAAAGACATGTCCGTTGCTATTAAGAATGCAGTAATACGGTTTAACTTGCTTTCAAAAAATGGTGGACGCCACACTGAACATGCTTTTAAAACATGTTTCAGAAACGATTAAACACGTTGTAGGATTCCCCACTGTGTAATTCTAAGATACAGTTAAAAGTGAAGAATCTTAAGAACTGATAAGCGAATAATCGCTTGAGTTCGTGTGACAAGAAACAACAAGATGGAAGGGTAAATAACCCTTTATTATTCAAATAAGATTTAACAGAACTCCGTCTTCGAGTGTACAATAAAAGCCGAAATTTGGGCTTGAATTTAAGAGGCTAAGAAGTAAATTAAAACTAATCTAAACTAAAGAGATATAGCCGAAACTATCAAGATTCTAACCGAGTTAGCCCCTTAACACTAATTCACTGCGAAGCTATCAAGGGCCTAAGTACGGCCGAGCGTAATAATAGCTTACGAGAAAGTAGCCTAAAAAAAGGCGGAAGCGTGCAGCCAGGATATCTGGTAACTCTCTCATTAAGACAGTAGAACTTTGCGGTTAAACACCGCTCTTCCTCATTAGCATTCAGACGTGATTCTAAAACTACATTCTGGAAGTGGTAAGTTGAAATTAAGAAGCGATAGGAAAGGAAGTTTAACTCAAAATTTAACTGTTCATAAAATTAACATAATCCTTACAATGTTTTAAACCGATATCTTCATGTCTTATTTCGTTTAACAATATTGCATACAGTGCCATTTTCCCCCTGGTGCTGAGTTTTTTCTCTCTGAAAATAAATTTCCATGACCTCCTTTACACGATTATTAAGTTTGATAACATTTGTTCCAGTAGTTTTTCTTTTATGACCATTTTAAAGCGGAACTTTAATTATAACCATCCTGTATATTTCATAGTTAAAATAAACAATTATTAGACATACGTCACAAAGATACAATAATTAAACACATAACATTTAGTTATGTCAAATTAAAACATCTTGTGCACATGATATGGAAAAATTCTTTTATGCTTATTTAAATCCTTACCTGTGCAAGATCCTCTTAGATCGTAGGTAATCGAGAGCCAACGCAATTTCGCAAAGATAAAGTCTTACGCTTTCTGCACCTAATGTAAAATTGCTTTGCTGCAAATGGTATCGTAGATCTCCTCCCAGGAGTAAATCTACGACCATAAACATATCTTCTTCATCCTTAAAATATAACAGAAACAAAATATAATGGTAAAAACAAAAATATAATAGTCATTAAACAGAATTTTTAATTATTCTAAGAATTCAGAATATATTATTATGTAGCTTTTAACACTAATTATTTTTACTTTTGTTGGCAGCTTTCTGTAATAAAGCAATTACTTGATTAAGATATCTTCTAATAAATGTTAAATTAGAACTGAAGTTATCGTTAACGTTCAGATAAAATTCTCAAAACCTAAAAAATAAAAAGCAGTTTTTTTCCTATTATTGAAGTAGCATATGGATTATACGTCGCTTTGTATTCATTACTACTGATAACTTTTATACATATTTACATTTCCTGTCTTGTGAACAAAAGTATAACTGCATGGGGAAAAGGAGAAAGCAAGCTAATGAATACTATATCTTTGCAAGATACAGGAATTTAGGTTATCAAAAACGATTAATAAGATAAAAATTAGATCGGTAACCAAAGCTTGTAATAGTAGTTTATGCATTGAGGAAAAAAGTAAGGGAAGTTTTGTTTAAGAGAAACTACTTGAAACAGGAATTTATTAATTCTGAAAATTTCTTCATTCTATTAAATTTGAATTAGGATATGTATGTCATTATAAACAGTAATGCTTTGTTATTGCGCCCGAGGAATAACTTTTATATATCTTAAGTACGTTAGTTATTTTCTGCCGAATTAGATAGATCTGAAAAAACATTATATTGGAAGGAAATTTGTAAATGATGGCTTGCGAAGGTGAAATGTACTCCAATTTGGTTTTTGATATTAACGTAGTGTGATTCATATTTTTTTCGGCATCTTTAGTAAACTTTTTAACCAGGGACACAGTTTTTAAGAACAGAGTTCCCAAAGCCAAATTCAGGGAATGTATCTTTTATGATTCCCAAATCAGGGATCTAGTGAATGATCCTGAAACTGAACGGGCACTGAATAAGGCTGAATCTGAAATATCTGTAAAAAGAGCGTGGTTACTTCTTAAATAACCAACAGACAGAAAATTACGAAACAAAAAATTGTTCAGTGAGCTTTTGAAAAATTATTGTGTGGGTCTAATATGTAGTATAATTCTTAATTTTTTAATTGAGATGGAAAACATTTCCTTCAGGACACGTGGGCAATGAAAAAAATGTTATAAAGGAAAATGAACCTCCTAATGATATTTACTGAAGTTGGACTGAAAAAAGGGATACAGAGAGATATATAACGAAAACATCAATTAGAATTTTTGCACTGAGTAAATATTTGTAAAATGTTACACAAAAATAATAATATTTTTGTTAAAAATATGGAATTTAATTTTTTTTTTTCGAAAACGATGTCTGATTAAAAATTAAACGATTGAAAATGTGATGCAATCAGCGTGGGAAAAAAAGAACACCCTGCAATGTTTAGTAACTAAAGGGTTTTTAATAATATATATGTTAATTTTTTATCAAATGTTCTATGTATTCCGCTAAGTTCAGCACGCTATAATCTCTAAATAAAGCTAATATCTGGAGTAAATAAGGTTTTAGCGGTATCTTGGATAATCGAAGATCAAATTATCGTGATTCTATTGCTCATCACATTAAAAATATGAATTAAATATAAATAAATAATAAAAATGAAAGCAACAACCACAATGACATCTACTGTACTAAACAGAACGGAAGGAGAAAATTATTAAGAAAGGCTTTTAAATAACTTTGGAAAAGATAGAATATGAAGTTACAGACCTTAACTGAAGATGATACATTTCGATAAATGTTGGGGTTTTTTAAAGAAATCTTATTCGCCAATTAAAGAAATTTCTTGGATAATTTTAGTGAAACTGAGGTTAAAGAATTAGCTAAGTAATCAAAGAGTGAAAATTTCCTAATTTTTCCTTGATGTGTGAGATGTGATATTATAGACTCTTCTCGAATTAAAATCGAACAATCATTTCAAGAGCCAAGCAACTAGTGTTTTAAGTAGGAGAGAAAGTAACTTCAATGTTAACTTACGGGGAATCAGGGAAATTGCGTTACTAATACAAAGTAAAATGGAATGGTAACAATCTTACTGTGATTTTTCCAGCAAGGAAATATTAGTTGAATAAAACAGAAAGTTAAAACTTTATCAAAACGCTAGAAACCTTGTCAACGGAAACAGTTTTGAAAGTATAAATTTCTCGAGCAAAAACAATTCGTGAAAAGCGGTAATTCAAGATTCGAAAAGCATAAGATTAGAAAGAAGCCTCTTTATTAAGCAATGTGGTAAGATTTATCAAGGGAAATTCTTCCCATGCTAAATAATTTCAGAATATAAAAAATAGCATCTGTAGGTTCTTCTTATTACATAGCTTAAACAAGAACATCTAGCATATTTTTAATATCATACGTAAATGAAATATTACCCCCTTTGTCATTATTTCAATACATGCTTCCTTGGATCAACTCAATAGATTTATACTTTTTAACTGTTGAAACAGTGACTATATGTTGGTTTTACAATTTCGTTGGATTTTAAGAAACAATTACTAACCTGGAATGTGAACCATAAATTAACTAAGAAAGGATGCTCCAAATCAGCCAAGATTTCAATTTCTCTCAAGACATTCTTGAAAGCACCTTTCTCCACGCATTGTCTCTTATTCATGTACTTCATTGCGTACATCTTCTTTGTATCATTTTTCTGAACGATGCAGACCTTTAAAAATGCAAAATTTATTATGTTTCTTCTATTCGTTGATAGTTAAACTTTCATATTTACATTAAATAATCTCCTTACATATTCTTTCATTTACATGTAAAGTAGCTAATGTAGCTTTTTAAATGAGGAAAAAAAATATTGGAGATACATGGGAAATTACATTTTCACTGTATGAAATGGAAACGTTTATTATACTTTAAGCTAGGTACTATAATATTCTACAGAATATTAAATTCCGTGCTTTTAATACTTTTAACAAAGGCCCAAAATTGTTAATGCAGTTTTGACTTTCCAGCAAATAACTAATTAACGCCATATACAGTAATCACATTTCTGACAGGTAAGAGAATTACTTCTGAGATAATAAAGAAAAGAATGCCGTAAAGCTCGCGTCTAGGCTCCCCTTTATTCAATATTTAAGGAATTATTTCCAAGACTTTCCACATTATGTTGTTGCTAAATGTGAATATAATACATTTAAATTTAAATAAACTAAATAGCTTCACAGTTTCTTGCATAGGCAACCAGAAGTTGTACATGGAGTGTACATTTTGTGCATATTTAGGAAACCTATCCTCGGTGGATATTATGTCCATCGAATTTTACTCTTTAATAAGTTAAGGCAAACTGCACGGTTTAACAAAAAATAGTTTTAAAAATGTTTCAGTAAAAAGCATGTCCCTCCAAAAAAATATCACGTCTAAATATCGTTCAAAAGGCAGATAATATGTTTCCAGTTTAAGAACTAAATTCAGTAAGCAATGAAATAACCCTTGAAATTGCGATAATATTGTTCACGTGACAGCTTTTAGTAAAAATATACCAAACTTCGATTTTTGTGCTGCTCCGTTTGAAAAACGTATTTTCCGTTGCCAAATTTGAAAAAAAAAAGTTACCTCGCACAAAGAAAATTACCCGAGGCCATAAATTTAAATTTTCCAGATTTTCGAATGTTGTAATGATAAATGATGCTTTGCCTTCATAGAAGCACAAAGGCAACAAGAGACAGAGCAATAAACATAAATTTACAGGACAAGTTTCGAATGTTTAAACATAAAATCTCCTTCTTCAGCTGCAGAAGTGCATTAACCTCGCATCTAAGCTTCGCTTTATTCAGTATTTAATGAGTTATTTCCAAGACTTTCCGCATTATATTGTTGCTAAATATAAAGATAATGCACTGAAATGTAATCAAACTAAATTGCCTCACAGTTTCTTGCAAAGACTACCAGAAGTTGTATATACAGCGAATTATTTGCGCACATTTTGCGTATTATTTAGGAGATTAAACCTTATCCTATGTACTTCTGCAGCCGAAGCAGGAGGTTTTTATATTTAAAGCTTCGAAGCTAGTCCTACAAATGTGTGTTTATTGCGCTGATTTTTGTTGTCAGTGATCAGCATCTCCAATAATCGTAATTTGCCGTATTATTTTAACTCAGATATGCTTTATGCGTCAGAAATAATCTGTGAAAATATAAACTCAGAGGCGTTTTTCTCAAATTACCATTTATAGATGAATTAAAATTTAATTTAAAATTTTGTATTTAAATGAATTCCGATTTTCCCGCTGCTCAAAATTCGAAGCTTCCGCTTCATCGTTTCTTCCAGTGTTTTAGTTACTTAGCTCTGAGTGCATAAGTGAATTAATAAGATTATTATTAATAAACAGATTAATATTGATAAGATTAATAACAATTTACCGTTAATTATTTTCATTTAGGTCAATAAGTGATTTTAGTTACATACTTCCAACAATTGTTTCCAGAGTCAATTTTTCATTTAAGTTCCATTTCTTTCATTTTAAAGATCTTCATAAATTAAGAGGCAACTTATTATTTGGGATCTTCTTCGTCAAACGTCCCGCAAGAAATTTCACATTTCTTGGATTTTTAATAAAAGAAATCATGTGATCAAAATTATCTATCTAATAAAAACTGAAAGTCTTCGTTTTTGGTTCATTTCTTAAACTGGAGCTACAGGCCTACCACAAACTGCTGAAGAGATATTTAATCACACAATATTTTAAAAATATTCTACATGTTAACTAAATTTTTACATTTGGCATTTCAGATTTTTATGCAAATAGATGTAATTTCGTATCACTTATTTTTTATTTCAAAATTTAGTTCATAAATATAATTTCAATTACTTTAAAACAACTGCCATCGTTTAGTTTTCGTTACTTAACCTAGCAGATTAGTTAGAATTTCATTTTGATTTAAGGGTGCTTTTTCTTACAGTAAAGAGATGAAGAAATTTAATATAAAATTTAGTATAGATAAGCTTAAAATTTATCGCATCTGCAATTCCTTAAGAGCTAAGTCCTATCTTAAAAAACCATTGTTGGATTAATGGCATTTAATGAAAGTGCAGTTAGTAACAAATTGTATGTTTATGTGTTGTAGAGTATACATTTAGTTTTACTAATCAGTTATTTTATATTAATGGGCTTTCTGTCCTTCTCATTTTCCATTTTCCTGTCAGAGTTTAAATGCCTAGTTCGTGCATATTCAAATCTGGTAGAAAAGAGAAAGTATTTAAAAGAAGGTTTTGGAGAGTAGAATCAAAGCGTGCTCCGCCTGCTGAAAGCCACGTTGCTAATTTGATTCTCTTGAGAGTGGTGTTCTGCGGCGTTGCGCTATTCTTGCCATTAGGCTTGTCACGCCGACTTGTTGGCATGGATGTTTGTAAATATACTGCATTGTCTTTACCGCATGGGGCACTATAAATGAACGGAGAGCCGAAAGACCTCTCGTGTGGTTTGGTGGAAGGGGAGAGGAGGAAGAGACCCTCGGATCACCCTCACCTAGGTACTCTTCCTCAAAATTGGGGTAGAAGTAGAAGTCCAACCACCTTGAGGCTCTGACAACCATTCCCCTATGAATTAGCAGAAGACAATATATAGACACAGACAACAGCAACTGAAAGTTGTTATAAGTTCCACTTTACGCCAGAAATATCGCACATTTGGTACAATGAGAGATAAAGCCTATAGGACACGTAACAGTAAAGTGTTCGTAAAACGTGGATCTCCGGAGAGCAGCGATGAGGGAAAGAAGGGGGAACGCAGAGCATTCACAGGCCTAGAAAAGCATTTCTTGGTGCTTACATGTTAACGCCACCGCAGCTGCAGATTTTGCGGTTTTTAAGCACCGCCAATCTACACCTAAAATTTTTGCGACAAATCATAAATTAAAATACTTTATTTAAAATCAAAACACTTTACTTAAAATCAAAGTAATCATTCGGATTTCGCTGGAAAATGGGCCGATATAGAGTTTAACATAGATTCAAAACAGTCTCTATTTTCTTTGACCTGATGCTGTCGCCATATGAACTCTGCTAAAAAAGATTCTAAATGATGTCTCGCTGTCCCACTATGTCTCTTGTTCCTCCATTTAGTACTACCCTACATTATCTTAACTGTTTGTGTAGGAACTCCTGCATCAGGATCAATAAAATTGTATTTATGCTTAAATTTAGCATGCAGAAATCCTTCTTTTTCTATTCTAATTATTTGGTAACCTTTCCAACTGTCAGAATAAATTATGCTTTCATCTGCAATGTTTTTAATAATTTTATTAAGAAGGGCAGAGCCAGTTCTATTAGGAACAGTGACAACAAACGAATCTTTTGTTTCTCCATATATACCACCAAACACCCGCTGTTCGGGTAATACTCGACCACAATTATTTTTACGCTTAGTAAACAAACTTCCATCAATTTCCACAATGCAATCTGGTCCACCTACCTTCTTGTTTGGTTTACTCTCCATATCCAAGACACATAATTCACGCATGTAATTGTTCCAATCTATAACAGTTTTCTCCGATAAATCAAGTTGCTTTTCACAAAATTTAATCGACGTCAACTCCTAGCACCAGCAGTATCTCAAAGCTGAACAAAATGGAATTCTGCTTCCTTCAAAGCAGTTGTTTTTTCTAAGTCCCACTTGCTGATCACACTTTCTTAAATTACATTTCGAAAATGTACGTTTACCAAAATAAACTTTTATATTCAAGAACTTTGTCATATGTACTTCACTCCAAATTGCAATCTAAAGACTGAATTCAATCAGTCGAGCTATTGAGAGGTCTAAGACGAGATGCACTGAAACTATAGAATCAATAACTTCCCTAGCAGCGTCGCCACTTGACATTACAAAAGTGGTTATTTCATTACTAGTGTCAGAGGATCTCAACAGCCTGTAATGTGTCTGTCAACGAGATAGTCTGATTTCACCAACGATTCCGCAGCTAGTTTGATAGCGTTTTCATTCATGACGAATTGAGGAACTTAAAAAAAAAAACTTGAAGGAAATGATAAATTCAGCCTTCAAGTTGAACCAGACGAAACAAACAACCAGAAGCATCTAAAACTCTCATGCAAAGTAAAATCCTAAAGGTTTGCAATAAATTAAAACTAACTCTATTTTAATGACATTATCTAACTTAAAATGGAGCATAATGTACAGCTGTGTTGATGCAAACAATAGTGATTGTTAATTTATGTTGTTGATATCGTCTAAATATTGCTAGCAATTCCTGAGTTTTCTTAATATATGTCAGAAATTAAATATTAGTTCATGATGTAGAACATACAACCAGTACATCAACTACCTATAAAACATTATTATTTCAGTGTTAATGAGAAACGCTATCAATTTCTGGTACCAGTAAGATAACGTATTTAATTCTATGAAAAAAATACGTAAATTATGCATTTCCGAATGTCTCTGACACCAGTTATTAGTGCGGATTTCTTTTTTCTTTATTTATTTTGTAAAGTCTCTAAACTTTATCCAAATAACATGGTAATATTTTTTTATATCTTCTAAATATAACTAGAAATTCTTGAGTTTTCGCAGATTATAATTAAATACGTTTATGCTTAGTGTTATAGTTGTTCATGATCAAAAACACGCAACCAGTGCAACACCACACGGCACATCCTTAAAACACTCTTAACTAACGAAAGGGTGTTTTAGCGGCAATGATCAAAAGCTGTTTATTTCTCATATCAAGTAAGATATTTGCTTTAATTCTCTGAGAGAAAAATACGTAAATTTTATTTTCCAGATGTCTTCGGACGCCGATTATTAGAGTTTTTTATATATTTGTTTTATAAAGCCCTAACTTTATCCAAAAAACACATGAATTGAACACTTTTTTCCTTTGTATTTACTTCCGTACAGTGGAAAATTACCCAGCGACAGTAATCATCCAAAAGTTGGAAAAATTAAAGTGTATGTGGTAAAGCATTTTAATGAAATCTGCATACCTGAAAGTCGAAGCTATTAAGAAGCATAATTTAATAATTTCTATATCACACGAAATTCTGAAATTTAGAAAAATTTAACTATTGTCTATTTATTAATTTCAGTTTAGTTTACTTTTACCTTTCTAGGATCTAAATCCTCAATCATACAGAAACGATGACAAAATTCATTTGAGTGAAAAAACGGGAAATTAAAGTAACAGACAATATTAAAACAAAATGTAAACAAAGCAGAAAGAAAAAAATACACTTTATAAAAACTTCAATCTTTTAACACCTTATCGTGCGTAAAAATGTTGAAAAACTTATTTATACCTCCCTAATACTTTCTTATTATTAAAGTTAAATGTTTTAAAAAATGGCACATAGCAATGTCAGTCCATAAAAATTTCTCTGATAAACAAAATTGAATTTAGAAAATGTTAGAAAATAAAGCTGAATACTATAAAAGCGCCGGCCTGCGGCCGAGCGGTAAAAGCAACTGAATGCTGGTATATCGGTCTCAGGTTCGAGTCCTGGCGACTAGGCTGCCTCTATGAGCGTTTTCGTAGTTTTTCCCATATGTAATGACGGCCCACCAGCGGCCGAGCGGTAAAGTCGCTGAACACTGGTAGTTCGGTCCGAGGTTCGAATCCCGCGAACGGGCTGGCTGCATGGGCGTTTTCGTGGTTTTCCCCATGTGTAACGTGTATACGAGCCAGTTTCCCTTAGAAAGTCCTTCACGAAGGCATCCCTCATCTTAGGCAGATAGCCCTCGAGGCTTTGTCATAATCACACACACACACACCCATATGTAATGTGAATGAAAACCAGGTTTCCTTCAGAAGCCTCCCGGGTCCGCCCTTCCCTTCCATAACCTAATGACGGAGCACGTAATTAAAAAATACTACAAAAGCACGAGGTTCACTTCTGGCACATTTTCACTTATAATTTTATGCCGAATGTAACTCATCATCAAAAAGTTTTATATTGTTGCGTGCGTACGGGCTCATAATAGATTGCACGTACAAGTCTGATTAAAAAGTTAATAAAATGTATTCTTATCACAAGAAATAAAACAAAATACTGAAATGTTTCCTCAGAGATATTCGTATAGTATCACAGTATCACGCAATATAATCAGTAGCTATATTTTTAAACTACTAAGGCGTTAAAAAGAACGCAATACAAATCGCAGAGAAAGCTAATCAGTTCAACAAAATTTACCGCAGCTAAGTAAACAACAACTAATAAACAACTCAACTAAACGACTGAACTGAGCTGTTTCTCTCCGGCTTTCTAAAGCTTTTTAATCGTGCACGAGAATGTTCTGGTAATTTCCGTTTTGTCGAGATTTCTGGAAAGCAAAAGAGAAAAATTACGAGATATCTATTTATTAAATGTTAAATGCGAGTGCTCCTGTATTTTTACTTTTCCGGAGTAGCTTTCACTTAAAATAAGTCTCGTGTTGCATTGCACGGAGATATAAAACAATTTTAATTATAATTCTATTAAAAATAGCAAACTAAATACAAAATCCGTAACAATATTTTTAAAGATATATGTCTCAAATTTTTAAATGAAAACTCTGACTTTCTAGGAAGAGGTATAAAAAAATTTTACTTTAAGACAGTACGCAATTTTTTACACATTACATGACAAAGATGTTTTCAAAGTTTCATCAAATCTATTTCAAGTTTTAATATTTTAAAAATGCCTTAACTTTGCATGCGTTAAAATTAAACTTCAGATTATGTAGAAAGAAAGCAAATAATAATAATAATAATAATAAATAATAATAATGAAGAGATATTATCGAATATAAACCAAATTCAATTAACTTTAATAAACTAAAATTTTGAATACTACTAAAAACATTCTTAGTGTGATTTTACAAAACTTAAATTCTAAGCCTAAATTAAGTCATAACTTTAGGCTTAAAATCGCCCTATTTTATGAAAAAAGTAGCATTTTTTTATCGATTTTATTACACAGTGTTTACACGTGTCAAAAAAAGTTTGTTGATCGGTCGACTAGAGTTACAGAACTACCCACTCCCTCTCACCATAATTACCTGAGTATTATTACAGAGTAATATAGGTTCTTTAAGGCAACTAAGAGCAGATGATGTTCAAACACCACCCAAATTCATGTGATTCAAGTGCAAATACTTCTGTGAAAAGAAAATTCAAAGTGTATTTTCAAAACTTTTGCAGTTTAGCCTTTATTTTGCATTTTGCATAAGATTTTATCGTTCCAAAACTAAATAAGCAATATACATTGAATTTAAATAATGTTTTGCGTATATATTCATTCACAGGTTTGCAAAAATGTAATAAACGCATATATCCAACTGTCTGATTCTTTGTAAACTACTAATAGTAAAACAACAGTACATTTGGCCTCGTTTGTAACAAAATTCGTTTTTAACGCTCACCATTTATTGTCCTTTAAGTGAGAGATGCCAGTCTCTGGAGGAGGAAAAAGTCAGTAGTGCTAAATACTTTCAAATGGGGTTTCTGTTGCTGATGAAAACCTTTGAAACTTTGAGACCCCTGCTCAGTTCTGTATTGTACTTTATGTAATTTAAAGCTGTTTATTTTGGTGAGCTCTTCGAGCGCACAAACATAAGCCTGCGTACGAATAACACTTTTCAAATGTTATTTGTGATCGAATATAAAAAGCAAAATAACTCACCTTCCCAAAACTTCCTTTTCCTATTGCTCGTAGAATTTGAAAATCTTCAAGGGACACTGTAAAAGCAGAAAACATACTCTTTGAATATCTAACATAATTATAAATACTTAATTTCAGTGTCACTAAAAACGATGTGTTTTCGCTCATTTATTAATTTTTACTTCCTTGTACGAAGTAAAAAGGAAGTATTGTAATCGCGAAAAACTTCAGGCATCATATTTCAAAGAAAAATATACATTTTGACTGCTATCGAATGCAATTTAACGATATTTTTGGGTGACATCCGTACGTAAGGACAGAATAAAGAACTCTTTTCCCCCAAAAAAATTATAAAACTTATTTAAAATGAATTCTGAAGAGAAATTTTCGTAGCGTCTGGGCGTACGTATGTACATATCTAGCATAACTCAAAAACGAGTAGCTTCAGAACATCGCAATTTTGTATATAGGATTGCTATAGCATGTAGATGTGCACCTCGTATTTTAGTTGCAATTGGCCGCACCAAAAAGTATATATATATATATATATACTTCCCGGATATATATATATCCACTCTGTTACTCGGCTCAGTAATCTGTTTCTTTATTCATATATATTTGTAAATTGGGCACATTTTGCTTAAAAAATGACTGAATTATGTTGCTCTTATCTTCCGGTTAAGGTTTTTATGCCTTTAGTAAATCTGCATGCGATATTTTTAGAATTATTAACAATTTAAAAGTTGTTTAAGTGCCGCTAAAGTTGTTTAAGCCTTTTGCAATGGCGGCAATGGCAATATTTGTTTACATTTGAAACAGCAGAATAGTAGATTTGTTGCCAATCTAGAGAAAGTAAGCTTCGCAAAAACAAAGATAACGCCTTCTTTTATTATTGTGAATTAAATCATGCTTAATCCATTCTAGAATTTATTCCAGGAAATAAGTGTTTAAGATTTACTTCATAATTTTCAATACAGATATTTTGAGTTTTTATGTATTTTTGCCTTGTTGCGAAGTCAAAACTAAATTAATTGAATGAGAAATACTGAATCGTCTGTGAAAAACTTTTTTTTTTTTTTGGTTGTTGTTGTTTGCTTAATTTCTTTTATACATCGTTTTAGGGGCTGGCTGCACGGGTGTTTTCGTGGTTTTCCCCATGTGTAACGTGTATACGAACCAGTTTCCCTTAGAAAGTCTTCCACGAAGGAATCCTTAGGCAGATAGCCCTCGAGGCTTTGCCATAATCACACACACATCGTTTTAGATTTATTACAGTTTTCGAATAGAATATGTGGCAACGATTAGATAATTCTTACGATTATATAAACTTTGTGCATTCTGAGTTAAAAAAATGAATGAAATTTAACGCGGTTAAGCGAATCTAGCTCCAGAGTGTCGCTATGGTAAACAAATATAGTGAACTTTAAAGAGTGCATTTATTCTATTGTGGTTTATGCGCTAATGACGAAATAAATTTAATTCAATCCAATAATTTAAGTGAAATGCAAGAAAAAATGCGTATAATTTAATATTCCATACAAGGAAGTCATGTGGTATACGCATCAGATTTTTTTATTTTACTAAACTATGGCAATGACTTTTTAAATGACATATTTTCTCCCTCTTCCCAGAATGCCTTCGTGGTGTAACGGTAGCATGCTCGGTGCGTATTCGAGATATCAAAACTCGAGTCTCTTTCTTGACGGTACTGAGGTTTGAAAATGTGGGATACCTACGTAAAGCTTCCCAAGCTTTTCTACCTCACCTACTGGGAGAGTTAAATTTAAAGTTTCACAACACAAAAGTATTAATCGCTTGAAGCTGACTGTAAGCATAAAGTTTTTCTTTGCACTTCTCGAAATGACAACATATTTACTTCCTTTTAATAGAGGCTACAAGTTTCACTGATGACTAAAAGCAGCGATTCAAAATTTTGAACTTATCAGTTAAGTCTATTTAGAGATTTATCACTCTTATGCAGCCTACTAGCGGTGGAGCGGTAAAGTGAACGCTGGTAGTTCGACCTGGTTTCGATTCGAGGCTAACGGGCTTGCTGCAAGAGCATTTTCGTAGCTTTCCCCATGTGTAAGGTGGATATGAGTTAGTTTCTCTTACGATGCCCTCCACAAAGGTATCCCTTCCCTTAGGGAAATATCCATGGCGTGCTTTGCTGTAATCAAATAAACCAAACCACTCTGACTCTAGGCAGCAGTTTATCGCAAAATGACATGCTAAACAGCAGACGACGCTAAAGCCCAAACTCTAGCATGCGGTTACGAGCTATTCCTCTAGCTTTATACCAAACTGCTTCCTGCTCAAATCTGCATAAACGTTGGCGTATGCGAGCTTCGATGCGAAATGAGGCAATAAAAAAGATGGACTTTTTAAGTTAAAATGAATTTATTAATATAACTGAAACATAAATTCCATTATATAGCTAGGTATGTTGATGAAAATAGTGGAAGTAATTTTTATTATAGGCCAGTGAAGAATTAAACTTGCGAAAACGAAAATACACGATTTCTTAAAAATAATAAACTAAAATAAATACTCTGAGCAATAGGTTATTAAATATTAAATAATAACTCCAAAGTAAATTTATGTAACCCAAAGTAGACTGTAGCCTAATTTGAAAGAAATTTTTGGAAGCGAAATTCAAATGTCTGAACGTTAAAGCCAAAACAAACAAAAAAAAAAAAATTTCCAAATGTAAGTCAAAATTTAAAAGTAAAATTCGGAAAATACATGAAATAGTAGAACAGCAAATAATACAAAAATGTAACCCCGGGTAAAGAAAATTCCACGCAAATCCGTGGAATATAATTCCAAATCGATACAAAAAGGATAATAGAATTTTTTTTTTTTTTCTGAGATAACTGAACATGTCCTTTTATTAGCATTTTTGCATCTTCCCACTTTGCTTTTTCAGGTTTTTGTATAGCATTTCTTTCAAATTTTATATTTTATTGGCTAGCTGTTTACATCGGCACAAGAATTCAGTTCGGTTATTACGCAATGCAGTTTCCCTCCCCGCAAGTGCAGTTCTTTCCATTGATCCATAACAATTTACGTTTGACTAACGCAGTTTTAATTCCTCAATTTATATATTCAAGTGTGGCTTATACCGCAACTAGAGTATATATTCTTACTTTCAATTCTTGCTTCATATATATATATATATATGTACAATAAAAAAAAAACAGAAAAAGGTGTAGTAATGTTGATGGCGTAGAATGTAGATACATATTGAAAAGGAAGAATTCTGATTGCAGAGAATGCTAAAATGTGAAATCCGTAATGACTAGAAAATATGGCAGCCGAATAAGATTAAATATACATTTTTATTCCAACTGACATTTATGGCCACAATTTATTTGGCACTCTAAGCGTGCCTAATCAAGAAACACTTACATTTTTTATACTGTTGCGATAGGGAAAGAGTACAGCGAAATAACGTCCAAGCAACACAGAGGTTGAAGCTAAAGTGCGCAATTATCCAGTAGGGAAAGTCACCAAGAGAAGGTTTTGACTTAGGTTAGAAAGGTTTCAGTTCGCTGAATTTTGTATTCAAGCTCCGAATTAGCTACGTCATTAGCATTAAGCAAGCCATGTGGCATAGATTAATCTAGGAATGCCGCAGGCCAAAAATGTTACTCCTGTTTTTGAATACTAAGAGGAAATACCCAAATTAGAAAAAGAGGAATTTAGGTATTAGGTTACTTCGAGCCGGAGACATAAAAAATTAGCAACGCCTTCGCCGAGAATCGAACCACGGACTTCTGGAATACGCGCCCAGCGTGCAGACCACCACACCATGAAGGCATGCTAAGAAGGCGGGAGAAATACCTTATTAGTTTACTAAGAATATTTACAAGTTTATTATATTAATTATAATACTAAGAACCACCTTATTCTTGCCCCTTTGAAAGCAGTTTTTTTAATATGTTACTACCAGTATACTCATATTTTAAAATAAAATTGATTAAAATTAATTAGATTTTACATTGGTATCAAGCAATAAAGTTAACAGAAAAAAATATATATTTGTTTTTAATAATTCAAGGCTATTATAATTTGGATAGTCTTGGTCTTAGTTATTAAATATTAAATTAATGTTGATACTCATATTAATGAGATGGATAAGCCTGTCAATTCATGCATAGCACTTCTGTGTTTGGGTGTATGCTGGTAAGAAGCATTGCAGTCATAATACTTTAAATCCCTCTTTTGTTGCTAAGACTAGAGTTTGAAATCCGTAAGTAAGGGAACCGGTAATAAATTTCAATACATATGAGTCTTGGAGGGGCTGATAGACGTTGCCAAGTGTAAGCTATATGCAGTTAGTTAATTTGAATTTTATTGATTTATTTATATTTTTTTGTAAATTTAGGAGAAATATTGAGAAACGCTATACTAACAGTCTTTGCAGGTTGCGCCATCTAGTAGAGAGTTCACGATTTCTTACACCCTTTTTATTGAAAGTTTAAGTTATCACAACGGCTGACTAATATATTAAAAATTCGGGTAAAATGAGGGCAAAATGCAAGAATGTTTTAAAAATATGTAATAATCGGTTATATTAGCCATTTCTGAAATAAAATAACAGCACATATAATAAAATCTAACAGATTATATCATGAGAAACATGATGGAAATATTTTTCTATAATTCTATCTGAACATTTAATTTTAAAGTAGTGAGAATTCCTGGATAAAGATTTAAAACCTGTGAGGTTTTTTGTCTCTTTAAACTTACTTTAATATATTCAGCTAAGAAACTAGAAAAATCCCACAAAAGTATTCTAGATGGTTGGTAGTCTTTTTCCCCGAATAGAACTCTTGAAAAATCAGTTATACGCTCAGGTACAACATCAAAGTTAGCGCAACCAAATGCGGCGGCACCGGACGGAGGAATTTAACAGCGGCAATTTTTCTTTAATTAAGAAAACAATAAGCGGCAGAAAGTCTGAGATACTAGGCGGCACAAAGCAGGAGCCACAGAGACTGCACGTGTTGGCAAAGCCTGGCTCCGGCCCTGCATATACTTGATTATGATTTCAGAGATCATTGTGCTGCTA